GCTGTCAAAGGCGCTGCAGGTGGAGGTGGCGACGGGAGGGACCAGAGAGGAAGGAAATCGCGTGTGTACGTTGGTTTCTGAGGTGTCATACTCAGGTCGAGTATTAGCTGAGCCTCGAGACTGCGAGGGAATAGTCTAGGAGTGCCGAGAGGGACGAGGTGAGGGGGTTTTTAATTTTTTTTTTTTGATTATTGACTTGGGGGGGGGAGCTGATGAAAGTTTGAATTATCCAAGGTTGTTTTGAAGGGGTTTTAAAGGTCGTGCTTGGATTTATATTTAATGTGAATTCGGGTTGTGAATTTGGTTGTAATTTCTGGTCTCGGGAAAGAGAGATTAGAAGGCCGTACCCGTAGTTATGGGGGAGAGTTTCAAGGTTGGGAATAATAGATGAAATATGTTGTCCAGACCTACTATAGTTGGTAATTTCAGCCAACCTTGCAATTATTATTTCCTTTTTCTGTTATTAGTGCTTTGACATGTGGGAATTTCGTGTTCCACCGCATTGGATACAAGTGAAAGTATTGGTAGTTGCATATGGAGTGATTGCACCCCATTGAGAATGTAGGCTTTTATTTTTGTAACGTTTCCGAAACCACTAAGATTTTGATGCACTCTGATACATGTTTGCCCTTTACGCATATATTATTTGAAACCGTTAACCCAATGACGCCGGGTGTACAAAACAAAAAAAAACTCTACACTTTAGCAAACAAAGGTGGCGCGCCGACTTTGAGTACGTGAGTAGGGGACATCAGCCCGAATCACTGGCTCGCCGCGCTTTGGCGCGCTGCCGTAGCGTACAGCTGCACGCCATTTTTGAGCCGTTTGTTTTCAAGCCGATCGGTGTCACCCGGCACCAAGGGGTTAAAACATCTTTTCATTTTGTATCTAAGTGATTCCTTCAAGTTGATTTAGTTTGATACACTCTGGTCAGGTAATCAGAGCGCGATATTTTTCAGATATATATTTTCATTGATTACCAGTTGCATCGTAAGTTTCGTGATAGAACTTTTTTATTGTAAGGGTACATAAAATGTTTCTGTGCCTTTTTAGCAGTATATCAAATACATATTCACTCTATAAGGGGAAGATTTAAAGTCAATCATGACAGTCACTAGAACGGCACGGAAAGAATTTCCATCGTGTCCGAGTCACATGATGTGGTATTGACTTCGGTGGGATGAATGTATTCTAAAACATTCTGTACTTCTATGATATAACCTTACAAGTTCAAAAAAAATAATAATAAAAAAAAAAAAATATGCAGTTTCCACTTTTCATACAAAGAACACTGTAATATGGAAATAATACAACTTGGTACAATTTGAACAGTGTATCAAAGTGTTAAGGGTTTTAGGACGCTACAAAAAAGGCCGTAAGTTCCAAATATTCCAGCCGCTCTTGGAAATTCATAACCATCACCTTATGACCCAAAAACTCCCCTAACCAGGGGTCTTCGGCCTTGGACCCCCACGCCGTCTACCTCAGAACCCCACCAGATCACCGTTAATTTGCTTTCCAGACAGTATTTGTTATGGCCAATTTTTAAAAATATCCCACATTATTCTTTGTCCGTACAGATTATTTTATATATCAGTAAGTGTTGTTTTTTCCTTTCCTTCTGAGAGTGTCAATAAATTTCCCTGTAAATGTACACTATAGTGATATGTGTCACACAACTTTTTTATTATCAACCTGCAGAGGAAATACCACAGATGAAAAGTGTCTCATTTTCTGTCTTTCTATTCATTACTATTCCATATAGTTCATATATTTAAGTTTTGGGAGTTGATTTTGTAGGAAGTAAGCATATTCTTAACACATCAACAGTTATGGTAGTTATATTACACTAGCATCTATGCAAAGGAATCTATAGAAAGTATAAGTCCACAATCACTAATCAAACTCTCCAAATCTGTATCTAGTCTTTGTACAGCTGTAGCCTCCGTACTTTGTATTCTGTCAGAACCATATAAACTTCCACCATGTATATTCTGGCAAGATAGAACCTATCAGTTTCCTTAGTAATTTATCATCAAAAATAGAACCAGTCCAGGACAACCTCACTGATATATGAACAGCTTTGTTAGCCTTCATGTAGTGACATTCAGGATGTGTAAAGGTTGTTACAATAAAGTGAGAATATTAGTGTTCATAATGATTATCACAGGGAGTCTGTTTCAATCACTGGGGTAGGATCTCACATCTGCTACTGTGAGCCAAAGAATAACCCTAGACATAGAGCTGCATTTACGAGTGAAAGCCTGTCTTCACGTGACATTACTGAAATTTTCACAAGGTGTTATTAGTCCTGTGAAAAATATCTTTGTTCAACACTTATTTTTTGAAGATCAGTTTTATAAGCTTGTTTGTGTTATTGTTAATTTTTATACAATCTGCCAGCTATGTACATATTATTTTTATATTTACACTCGGTGCTTCAACAGAAATTTAATCTACATACATTAGATACTGTAACTGCTAAAATACTTTTTCTCTTTTTTCATATCTTACTAGTGATATGGGTCTTACATGCATTAAAACACAGGATGGTACTTACAGTTTTGAGTGAAATTGATACGTTTCCACCCTGTAAATCGTATTTCATCTCTGTTCTTATACATTGTAATACCTATTATATATATATATATATATATATATATATATATATATATATATATATATATATATATATATATATATATATATATATATATATACACATATATATACATACATACATATATATGTATATATATACATATATATACATACATACATATATATGTATATATATACATATATATACATATATATAAACATATATATATATACATATATATATACATATATATATATATATATATATATATATATATATATATATATATATATATATATATATATATATATATATATATATATATATACATATATATATGTATATATATACATATATATGTATATATAAACATATATATGTATATATATACATATATATATATATACATATACATATATATATATATATATATATATATATACATATATATATATATATATATATATATATATATATATATATATATATATATATATATATATATATAGTATATGTATGTATATATACATATGTATACATTTATATATTGTTTGGAAACTCCCAATACCTGAATAAATTATTATTTGTTCTGTGCCAAATGGTGCATTATTCTGTGGCTTGGTCAGTGTGTTGTTTATATTTGTTCTTTGTCCTGTGTGTGTATATATATTTTGCAATTACTTTTTATCAGTGGTGTTGCTTTTCAAAGACTGTAGCATGTTTTTTTTTTTTGTTTTTTTTATAATACAAAGCTTTATATCAGATATTTTATAGTCTGGCAGTCCTGAGGGGGCTGACTAGGAGATTTAACCTATACATTTATAAAAGTAAATATTAATTTGTAAAAACTTAACTGTATGAAACCTACTTGGTGGTACTCAGTAATATATGAATACATATTGATATTATTAGAAAGTTAACCAAATGCTTTTTATCTTTGCTTTTCTGTTGTTAGTGTTATTATTACACATATAAGTAACTAAGTCATAAAAGCATAAAGCCATATAGAAATCAGAGGTTTTATAATGTCTAAGATACATGATTTGAAAGACATCAGCACAAGGAAATTCTTTTAATATTGAATATTTGTCTTATTTCATTGGATTCATAAACATTTAAAAGCAAAGATGGAACTGAACCTCAAAACCATTGGTCACTGAAACCATAAATGTTATCCGAGCTGCGTGTTCAGTGATTGTCAAGGACAGGAAGTGTCCGCCCTTGACATCATTTTGCTCTGTCAGTTTTTTCTTTCTCCCATGACAAAATGGCATTATTGTTGCTTATTAAAAGGGTTAAGTATATGCATTTGTAGTGGAATCTATCATGTATATTTATATATATATATATATATATATATATATATATATATATATATATATATATATATATATATATATATATATATATGCATGTATGTATATATACATATATACATACACACACACACACACACATATATATTTATATATATATGCATACATGTATAGTCTCTAAGAAAAAGTATCTTTTCTTAATAGATGAAAACAAAATGATCAATTGTTAAGAATTGATTTGAAAATGTTGGTACTTGTTATTTCCAAGCTTAGAACAGATGAAGCTTAATAATGTTTGAATAGAGTTAATGTGGCAAGGGTCTGGTATCATGCTAATATTAGCAATGGAGACCTCATAGACCATTCATAGCATAATAATTACACTTTACTCCGAGCCAGAATATCAAGATTAGGTATTTCAAAACCAGTCATGCCTCTGTAGATCCAGTGGCCAGTAGTTAGTCGCCATGTCCCCTTACGGGAGTCAGTTTCTTCTTAGTTATTTATTTTTGTTTTTTTTTTTTTCTTTTCTTTTCTTTCTTTCTTCCTTTAACAATCCGTAACTACTGCAAGGGATGGGAACCCCATTAGTTCTGCTTGTAACAGCACACAGAATGTCAGAAATTGCTGGGCTGTTTGAGTGGATGCACAACAGCAGTGTCGAGGAGTTGACGGATGATGGACTCGGCAGATTTGCTGAGTTTGCCTATGTGGAAATCCTGGATGAGATATTTCTACCATCGATGAGGGCCGTGGTGTTCCCTGAGTCGGACCCATTTTACTTCATCCAGGATAACTGCCGTATCCACACAAGCAGTGTTGTGAAGGCGTGGTTTTGGCAACACCCCAAGATTACGCTGGGCCACATCCATTCAAATCACCAGATCTCAATATCATTGAGATTGTTTGGTCAGCCATAGGCAGAGACCTCCCCCAAGATCATACCTGCAATCGTCATATCGTTGTTGCCCATGTAATTACCGCATGGGAGTGCTTGTGCTCTGCAGACGGACGCCAATTAACGGCAACATTATATACAACCATACCACAAGACTTAGCAGTGTTTGCCAAGCTGGTGGTAC